TTTCTTTGACTAAGCAATTGGTTGTCTTATCAAAGGAAGATATCATTAGTCAGATTTGATCTACTTTTTGTAAATCCATACCGCAATTTATAATGGAAACCTATTTTAACATAATTCAAACTATAATAGTTCCACTAGGCACTGCTATTAAAAAGAAAAGCTTAAAAAATCGATGAGGAGATTGTTATTAAAAAACTCATTTTGAATCACATATATTACTCCAGAGATTAATATTTCCTGATTATAAAATTTAACATAAAATTAAATTGTAAATATTTTGTTCTAAACCACCAGAACCATGCATGGCCTTAGGCAGTCTGCTGTTAGCGTGAAACATTTGTTCAGCTCTAAGGAACATATTTCCTGTATGATTTGTATGAAAGAAAGCATCGTTTTTTTCCTTCCTAATTTTGGTAATGGACTTTCTTTTTCTGTATTATGAAGTATAAGAAGCAATACTATATTTTTAGGAATTAGGCAAGTATACAAAGCCTTGAATTATTTACAAAGTAAGCTGACTGTATGCAGTTCCCTTCTGCTACTGCTTTTCTGAAGGAGAAAAGAAATTCAGGTTTCAAAAAAACAATTTATCCTTAGTCTATATTTAGAATAGTGTGAAAAATATCCATTTTAGGTAGAAACTGTCTATTCTGAGTCTAAATAAAGTTTAATTAAAATTATTCCTAGGTTGCTTTACATAAGGCAACACATAAATTTAAAATTAAAATGTGAAAGAAGATAAATAATTAATATAGTAAGTAATTATAATGAATAAAATAGTGAAATTACATAGCTAGGAATTTACTGGTATCAGTTAGTCTCTGCTTGACTCCTGTATTGTTCCACTTAAGTGATGCTACTTGCTACCTGCCAGGGAAATGTGACTCAAGAGAGCTGATGCCAAAGTTCTTTCCTGCTGTTTTGTATTAGAGGTTGGCATTGGCAGAACAGATGATTAAAATAAGGCTTTTGATTTTAATTGCAGATCTTTTCTGAAAAAAAAGCCCTCTTTTCTTAAATATTTCTCTGAATTATGCACCTGATTCATGAGACTTACTATTTCCAGGGTGCCTACTTTGAGGAAGAGGGTACAGTGTCTTATCTATAACTATATCTGTACTTAACATTCAACTTCTTGTTAGCCTTTTCCTGTGCCTGATGTGTATTAGAACAAGCCTATAACTGCAGCACCAACAGCTATTGGAAATACTGGTGTGTGCTTCTCGTGACCTTTTGTAATTCTTTGATAGATTTGGGAGAAATTTTATGAAACTGCAGACATGGTATAAGGCATTTTGCTCAGATCAAAGATGAATTGCTGTAATTTGAATTAGCTGGCTACACTCTTCAGCTGAAATGCAATTTACTTTAAGATATATACTTAATTTTAATGAAGATTCTTGCCTTGCCAGCTACTTTTGATATTGATTTTTAAGCTGAGACTAGGTATGTGATACAATAACAGACTTACAGGGTAGTCTGGGAGCTACATATATCAGGTTATTGATGCTGACTGTCTCTCACATTTGTTCTAAGGAAGCATAAAAAACATTGGTATTTTTACCATTTAAAGAGTGGTGTGATTTCCTGCTCTGTAAAAAAAGAATCAAATTTTGTGCTTATTTCATAGAAAAAAAAACGTATTTTTGATCCACATTACTTGTGTCAAAATATTCTTCTCTTTATACACACTAAATATGATTTTCAGTAAAAACTAAAATTCTATTCTTGCAATAGATTCTGTATGGGGAAAAAAGCTTATCTTGTTAGGCTAAAAAGGGTTCTTTCTCAAACACTGTAAGTTCAATCACATTGATTTTAACATGACTAAAACTGACTCCTATTAAGATATACACTAGCATATGTAAGATTGCATTAAATGGCAAGTGCCAAAGGTGTATCTAGAGTGTCAGGAGGGCTTCCTGGTTCACCCCAAGTGCCCGGTACTTTAGTTTTTCTCACTGACACTGCATGAATTCTTCTTTAGTCTAGATTCCCTTCAGAGGGCACCCACAGAAGCGGACAGGATAGTTTGCTCAAGTATCTGCTCCAAGGATTCGCCCTGCTACAGCAGCCATGGTCTCTCAAATACTTCTCTGGCACATCATAAGGCATGCAATGCACATGCTAGGTGTTGTCATTTTGAACCAGCACTCTGCTGTGTTGGACATAACTCCTTTAAGTATTTCATTCATTTGAAATGGAAAAATATGTGTGTGTATATACATGACATTATATCTTAATGTCACAGAAACACTACAAAGGGACCAGAGCAGATATGATCTCACCAAATGCTAGGCAGCATGGAGGTGACTGGTTTGTTGCAGGTAATGCTGCCTCTGAGTAGTGAAGGCACAAGCCAGTGCATGTGTATTGATCTACGGGCTGTGCAATCCACAGTGATAATCAGTTCACTGGATAATTCAGACTGAAAGAGATGTCAGGAGGTCATCTAGCCCAATGTCCTTCTCAAAGCACGGTCAGCTACAAGGTCAGACCAGGTTACTCAGGGCTTTATCCAGTCAAGTCTGAAAACCCTCAAGGATGCAACTATGCAACCTCTCTGGGCAACCTTTTCCTTTGTTATACTATCATCATGAGAAAGTTTTTCTTTAAATTCATTCTAAACCCCTCTTGTTTCAACTTCTGCTTTTTGCCTTTTGTTCTCCCACTGTGCAGCATTGTGCAGATCCTGGCTCCATCTTCTTGATGACCTCCTTGTAGGTACTGGAGGGTGATCAGGTACCTCCAGGGGCACTATTTATATACTGCACTATTTATAGCATATAATACTTTAAATTCCCTTTCATTCTCTTGATTCAGTAGTCCAAACCAAGAAGTGGTGAGTAGGTTTTGTTAAAAAGAAGAAAAAAAAAAAGTATTTATTGAGTTGCATGACTCTGATAAGGTTTAGGATAATTCTGAACAGCACAGCGCTATGACATGCAGAAGTAGACAAATGAGGATTGCCTGCTTGGCTCTGCTGAAAAGCAGACTCTATTAGTGCTGACATGGAAATACAGTAACATAGCTATGTTGCTTCTGGCATCTGAGTTAACTTATTCAGGGCTACCTCTCTTTATAAAGCATTGAAATTTTGTGATGAAAGGCAAGTGCAAGATAAAAGTATGATTTAGGCAAATCTGTCCTAAATTTTGTCCAGTATCTGAAATGAAAAAATATTTCAGTGTAAAGAAAATTTCTTCAATATGTTATTACACTTCAAGGAGTGCTTGCTTTTTGTGATAGCAGTAATAGCAGTAGCAGCATTTTATACTTTGCACTACATGCAATTATCAAATAATGTAAGCTTATCTTGACCATAAAATGAGGCATTTTATGAAATAAAAAAATCTTATCATCGTTCTTGCTTTGGTTGTAAATGACACTTGCTGGTTTTGTAGTTAATGGAATTTAATATGTTTTATCCACTGTTGTGTTTTCCATCCAGATAAAACCAAAGTATCGTTCCACAGAGCTGCGAGTTAATTTCACTACATAGAAAGACAGACATACATGGATTTGAATGATTTGCCTAGGATCTCATAGCAATCAGTGGCAGAGCTGGGGATTTAAAGTAATATAATGTTTGCTACTTCTGTACCTTATACACGGGAAACGTTATAGAAAACGAATTACACCAATTTGGATATTAAGTGGCATCATGGCAGTAAACTACTCCAAGGGAAGTATGTTATTTAGAAGGAAGTTGACAACCTCATGTATCACAAAACCTAATATACCATGATGGAATGAATAATGTAAAAGAGTGAATTATAACGGCCTGTCTTACAGAATTGCTGCTGTTATTTACACTGTGTCTTCTATGTATATGTTGAATGCAAAGTTTTTGCTACAGTATGCAGAATTGTGAGATAATTAATTTTTATGCTGAGGGAATTTTGGCCATGTCTCAACACCATGTAAGAGGTTGAAGAGCGTTAGTAATAGGGCTGATAGATCATTTTCTTTCAAAAACCAATATTCAGCAAAAGTGGGCCATTACCAAGTCATCTTTCAGAAAAATGCAGAGGGTTCTCTGCAAAATTTTATTTTTCCATTTAAAGTTTTTAGGAAAAAAAAAGATATTTATTTCTTTTTGTCAAAAATTCAGAAATATATAGGGAAAAAACCGTGATGGTAACAAAAGTTGTGTTTTCCCTAACAATTTCTGTTAGAGAATATTTTGGACCAGCTTTTCTAGGAGGAGTTCCTTTGGATTGTCTATTAAATATTTTTAAATATCCACAGGCACTTTCATCTGGAACACCATAAAACAGGAAAAAGATGGTTAATTCTGTGATATGGGGCTTTCTGCATTGGAAGATTTTTTTTGTTGAAAACATTACATTATTTTCTGTATAATGAAAGTGTGAATGTCACACTTACGCAAACTGACAAGAAATGAGTCATTACCACTCAGTTCCTGGGAAAAAATATTCACTATTAAGGGAGACAGTGCGAGGTCTTCTATCTTGGTTAAATCTTCAAAATTTTGTTCTAAACTACCTTAATTAGAAGGCAAACTAGAACTGATAGTAGAGATTGTAGAGAAAACAAATCTACATTTAGTAGCTTCAGTACAAGGCCCACCTGACCCAAGGAGGTTATTTGGCCAATCCATTCCATTGCAATCGGGCTCTGGGGAAGGATGTACAGCCAGTCAGCACTGGGTAGTTCAAAACACTCTGTGTGCCACCACTATTTTTACAAAAACTTAAGAACTGGCCTGCCACCCAAGGAACAGTCTTTTGTTCTTCCTCCAAGTTTGACTGACTTCCTTGCAAACACTTTCAGTTTTTAGTTCATTGGAGTACGCATGTAAGCGTGAAAGGCTGTAATAAACAACCGGAATTCATGTTCTGTAATAAAAATGAATGATTCTTCTGATTTCAAAGGAATATTGTACAGGAAAGGTAAAATAGTCATTGCCACCAGGACTGGTCTGCAGTTACATACCTAAAATTAAATTTAGGAACTTATTAACATGAGACTCTTACCTTAAACATTCAGGATCAGTCTGACATTTTTCAGTGACTTGGACTTTTTCTGCTTCTAAATCCTTCGTCATTGTTTCAGCCTCCCTGATTACTTTCTCAAGTTCTAAACATAAAATAACAATTATCGATAAATATATATTTATCATTCATATTCAAAGACTTCCTACATTTTCTAAATTTATCTTTTCTAATATTTCTTCATGAAACTGTTTGTAGGGTAAAGGCATCCAAATAAAGATCATGAATTATTTTATTATTGTAATTGGCATCATATTGCAATCTTCTAGAAAATTTCGTTCCTCTTCCCAAACAATTTATGACCATTTTTATGGCCTGTCTTTCTTAGCTCTCTTACTGTGACATGTTATGTACACATTTGTAAAAAAGTTACTAAACCACTTCTAGATCCCTATTGCTTGTGATCACCTTTGACACAGAACCTTTCTTGGTTCCCTCTGTATCTTTTTAGTTTTTTCTTTTATAGGGTTTCCTGTGCATTTGACACATTCCTCCCAGCTTTGTGTGCAAACTTCTTTTTTTTTAATGCACAGACTTTCATACATGAACACAAAAATGTCAGTAAAGAGATGATAGTTGAATTACAACTCAGAGGTTTAGCACTTGGGCCAAAATTATCTTGATCAGTCCAAGCCATGTTGCTTGTTAAACATTTGAATTTTAGTGACATTCTTTAAATATAGGTTAATGGGTTTTAAGCAATATGTATGTTGATTTTAACTTCACTTTGAAACACTAAATTCTCCATTTAAATATATGACTTACCAGCAAAAGTAAAAATTTTTTCATATTTATAGCTTATGATTTAGCAAATCTGTAGAACTCAGTATCACTGACATTTAAAAAAAATCTTACTGAAATCCATATTTGTTATAACTATGTTTAAAAAGGATGTATTACATAATGTAAAAATATATTAAAATCTTGTTTCTATGATTTCTTTTTCTTGAGAAAAATAACTTGCCAGAAAAGATTTTTCAGAAACATTTGTCAAGCCACAAATAATTACCATAACAAGCGATTATCAGGCACACCTTTGAGTTCACTTTGAAGAGTAAATAAATCCTGCTTTAATTCATTCGTCTGCAGCTGCAGTGCATTTAACTGAACATTTTTATGTTCCATTGACTCCATTTCTAAGAAAAAATATATTTTAAATTAAGATGCATTGCAGTTTTAGTCTTCATGAATTAATCTTAAATATTCTTAACTACTTCTACCAATCTTCAGCTAGTCAAAAAGAACCTTAAATATAAAACTAAAATCTATGAAAAGCAGTCATATAAAACCCAGTTCACAGGAAATTATATGTCATAATGTATTCATAACTATAAAGGAAAATGCTTTTTAAATGTTATTAAGATATTTGACATATTTTGTTGATGGCATAAAAAGAATGTTTTGCTTTAGAGTTGCTTCAGCTATAAAGGAAGATGACTTACTGAATAGGTGATGAACAGACACCTCTCAGCAGGACTAAAAAAAACCCGTTATTTTGTTTAGCGTTATGGCCATTTGAACCTGACCATTGACAGCATCTGGAATTAATTGTGATTGTTTCCCTAACAGCTGGAGGTCCTCACATAATGTTCTTGTTATGAGTTACTTAAACTTTTCTCTTTAGTGCTGTCAGCGTGCTCAGTACTGTAGCAGACAGAAAGACAGACAAGTTGTACCTCAAAAAAGGTACTATTTAAAAGGATGGAATCAAACCAGCAACGGAACCTACAGAAGAATGTTAGTCGCCTTTCATGTCCTACTGATGATTTGACTGATCCGATCTGCCTGAATATGTAACTATTAATCATTAAAAGTAACAGGTGCCACCAAACACAGACTTTCAGTTGTAGATCAGAATCAGAGCCACAGGAAATACAGAAAGAAGGTACCACCAAGTACAAACTCAAATGGATAGTCATATTTCAGTAACTTTACATCAGATACCAGGAATTCAAAGTGCTGGCGCTTGATGATACTGGAAAGGACTTTGAGAGGTCGTCTACTGCATTTCCCCTCCTGAAGGCAGGATCAGCTGTACCTCTGTAATTTCTGACAGGTGTTTGTCTAACCTGTTTTTAAAGACCTATGGTAATGGAGACTCCTAATTCCTTTGGTAATGGAATCTCCTAAGGCAGAGCGTTTCAGTTGTTCACTGTTCTTAGAAAGATTTCTAAGCAGCCAGCCAGACGCTCCCTTATTGTGGTTTACACTTGTTACTTTTTATTCATTTCACTATAGGTATGGAGAATATATTAATTTCCTTTTTACAGAATCCTTTAACAACTTGAAGACTCATATCCATCTTCCATCAGTCTTTTCCTTCACAGGTTAAATAGTCCCAATTCTTTAATTTTTTTTCCTTCTCATGTTCTCCAGATCTCTGATCACTCAACTGGTCCCATGTGGATTCTCTCCAGTTGGTCTACATTTTTTCTTGAAGTGTAACATCCAAAACTAGATACACAGTATTCCAGCTAAGAGCTTAACTGCCCCAAATAGAGTGAAGGATTCTTTTGAATGTCTTAGAGGTCAGAATTATGTTTATGTCTCAGCATGGTGTTGGCATTCTGATGTCATTGACTCATGTTCAGCTTGTGATCCATGATGACTCCTATTTCCGTGCTGAAGGATTGCTTTTCAGTCTGACTCTCCGTTCTGAGAAATTTCATATTCTGTATCTTAACTCAAAGATAAAGTTATACTGTGGCAGTAAAAGACCAGTCCTACAAGACATCTATGAATATAATTCTTTTGAAGCTCAGGAAATTTACATAGCTCAACCATAGGTGATTATAATCAGTGCAAACCTAATACAGTATGCTATGTATGACAGTGCACCTCTGTGCTGGCTGACATTCGATATTGGGAGCCACTTCTGCAGGTCTGCTTCTTCTCCTCATAGTGCTCATAGTCAGAAAGGACTGAAGAGGATAGGGAACAGAAGAGGCTTTTTTCCGTTTAGTGCTAAGAGGAAGTTCCAGAAAGTAAGGGAATGGAATTCAAATCATTGTTTTGCACAGCTATATTTTATTGATTTGTATTCATTCTCTGGTAATCCAAGATAAAATAGTTATAGTCTTATATTAGGACTTACCATTTTTCAACAGAGCTGCCTCATTCTCTAAAGCATTTATTTCAGTCTTGACTTTTTTTTTAATCAGAAGATCTCTATTACTTGTCAGTCCATACTCATTGTTAAACTTTGTTACTTCTCTAGTAAAATTATCTTCTTCTTCAGTCATTTTTCTCTTTGCATCTGTCTGAAAAAAAGAAAGGGAAAATTGCATGTTCAGGTGAAAAAAAGAAAGTCTTTGTTAAGCTAGACAGACTGAAACACACTGTTGTTTATCTTTAAACTTGCAGTATAAATGTAGTATATTTACTTTTCCTCATGAGAATAAGGAAATGGTCTACAGCTCTATCATTTTGTCTGTTGTTTTAACCTTTTTTTTTCTGAAAAAGTGAAGGATATATTCTTAATAAGAAAACATTTGAAAAATCACTATATTATGTTACAGACTTGTGACAGCAGTTTTTCAGTTCAATGCTTTATTGAAATTAGTAGAAAGTTCTATTTAAACTCAGTAGCATAGTATGGCCACTCTTTTTTTGTGATTGCTATTAAATGAAATAAAGGTGTTGTTTATTACTCTGCAGAATGCAGACTTACTTTAACTCCCTCAATAACCAACAAGAAAGCTATAGTTGAAACAGGAAGTAACTGTTTCATTTTGGGGAAAAAATATTCTAAAGAGAAAGACTACTAAATTCCTTTAAAAAAATCTTAACTGCTTACTAAATTAAATAAAATGAAATGACCCCCATATACAGGAAGAAAGAAATGACAACCTATGTATCAAACTTGACTGGTTACAATTAAAAGAAACTTCATACTTCTTCAAAGGATATTTAGCTTTTATTAGCTAAATAATTTTTCTATGATACTTATAATATTTATTGTTCTTTCTTTCTTTCTTTGTATACTTAGGATTGGGAATACTTTGGACGCTGAAGAAATATTACTTAATTAAAAGGATATCTGCCTAAAGATTTAGGGTTAATACTGGTGATTCATACTGAATGTTTAAAATTTAGCTCTGCTGATTTAAAGTACAAATACATATGCAGAAAAGAATACTCATCTGTGGCGTTTCTTAATATCTACAGATCCAAGGATCCACAATGAAGTAAGAGGAAGGCAATATTCAGGTTAGCACAAGAGAGAACTGAAAAGCTTGTTGTCTGTATATGTTGCAAGTAGCTGCCTTTTAAGAGGTGGTTACATGTGTCTAGCATCACAGAGATTGTGTGGTATGTCAGGATTCCTAAAATGTGGTGTTGGCCTCCCTGAGTTTTTCCTTTGATCCTTCTCAATATGTTTTATTGTGGATGAGGCAGTCCAATTTAAGGTGAAATTTTCCTAGTTTTCTTCTACAAAGGAAATAATATGTCAGAATTGGGGTTCAGTCATACAACAGCAGACATTAGAAAATGAAGTCAAGAATGTTAAGTCAGCTTTATAGATAAACTGCAGCATACATTACCTTAGATCATGGTTTAAATTAAAAGTCAGAATTTATCTACATTTACATTGTTAAGTATGCTAGAATTAAAAAAAACCCCAAACATATTTTCCAGATTTAAAACATTACTTTTGCTATATTTTCTAATTTTAAAGCTGACTACTCTCATACAGTAGAAAAGAGCTGTCTGAATACTGTAGCTGAAAACATACAAAGATTTTAAGAAGACTGCTTTTTTGGTTAATAAGTTCAGTTTTCTGTTTTTCTAAGCTGTCTTCATGTTTCTTCAGAACTTCTAAGTAGAACTGTTTTTCAGACAGATGCTGAACCTTCCAAGAGAAAAAAAAAAGAAGGTTATAAACTAAGGTTATTGGTTTTTTATTTCATATACTTTGATATTGTACGTAAGAATCTTGGTCCAGTTAAAACACAGCTGGCATAGCTGCTGGACTAGCAAAAGCATAACAGCTCTTTTTCCCCCCAATAATCTTCCAATATACCACTAAGTTTTTGAAAAGTATCCTGTCTTTAAAACACACATTTAGTGCTGGTCCATCTATCTAAAATGGCATTTTAAAGTCTGCTCAGTTTAGGAGAAATTTTTTCAGGTTAAAGCCAGGAAAAATATTGATCACATGGGATCTTTTACCCAACATAACACAGTGTCCTGCATCTAATTGTGTAAAGCTCATCATGAACCAAATCAGACAATAATATCAGAGGGACAGGGGTCCAATATCATTGTTTTGACTGAATGGCTGTGCACATCATCAACTCTGCAATGCTACTATTGCATATGCGAAGGAGGGAGGGTTATGCTCATATTTTTCTGAGCATAATTTCTGGAATGCTTAGCCAAGGAAGTGTAATGGAAATCAGCTCATTGATTAAAGATAGTTTGACCATACCCCCCCCCCCCCCCCACATTCCCCCCCCCTCCAAACTTCTATTTTGTGTATAGCTTTATTTTCAGTTTTATTAATTTTAAACAGTAGTTTATCTGATAGAAGGGTATGCTGTTCAACCATTGCATTTTCAAAATTTGCTGAAAAGTTCTTCTCAATTTTCCAGCGCATCTACTGTATCATTGTCTAACCTAAGTTAAGATATATGGTGGGATAAACTATAACAGTAGATAAATAGGGAAAAGCTAAGTGTTGAAGAGTCCTAAAGGATGAGAATCATTCATCTGATGAAGTGGAGAAAAGGAGGTCAAAAGAATGACTAAACAGTAATATTCAGCACAAGAGGTATTAGGGAAAGTAAAGTAAGCAGAATTGCCCACAGACTGTGAAGGCACAGGGTAAGTATCAGGAAGTAAATTGAATAGTCAGGATGATACATGACTGTTTGTGTGTGCAGAAGCAGAAAAAAATGAATAACAGTGATATTACAGAGGTAAAAATGAAAAGATTATAAAATGAAATAATGTAGATGATTTTGGAGAGAGTGCAGATGAAGTGCATCTAATCAAAAAAGGAGGATAGTGGAATCAAATGCCCTAAGACTAGAATGTGAGAGTTGGAAAGGAAAGGACCAGATCTTTTCCTTATCCCTGATATGTCCAGCATGCTAAGTGTCCAGGAAGTGCTTGCCTCAGGAATATTTATTTTACATATTAATTCAAAGAGAGTAGATGGTCTTATACCATGGTATTTATATTCCTGAACATAACGAGCTGCAGTGTAGTTTCTCCATCTATAAGATGCCAACTTAATCTATGCATTTGCAACAGATTTTTTTTAAGAAATCATTGAGCCATGAAAAGCAAAATGCAATAATTCGGGTTCTAATTACATGCTACCTGATTTTACAGAAAAGAGGAAAAAAATAGCACTTCCTAAGAATCTTTGATTGACCACAGGCAGTCTCCGTGAAATAGATGTCAAAACACTTTTGAACTCAGTCTCATCTGCTTGATCAGGGATAGGCTGCTGTGCATGCACGTGCTTGGACATGCATGCTTATAAAGAAGTGCAGTTATTTGGTGCGGGACAAATCGAAGAGCATTAGCTGAACAGCATTATTTAATATTATTTGAATCACATTAACTACTGTAGACATATGTAAACTTAATTCGTGTACTGAGAAATAAATTACTTTAAGTAACTATATAATATTTAAACTTAAATACAGTGTGATTGAAATGCATTTTCCCATTCCGCTTGTTTTCCTATTTCCTATTTCCCATTTCCTATCTATAAATGAATCAATGTCAGACTGTCCTGGTTTCAGCTGGGATAGCGTTGATTTTTCTCCCTAGTAGCTGTTACAGTGCTGTGTTTTGGATTTAGGATGAGAATAATGTTGATAACACGCTGATGTTTTAGTTGTTGCTAAGTAGTGTTTACACCAGTCAAGGACTTTTTAGCTTCTCATGCTTGGCCCAGTGCACAAGAAGCTGGGAGGGGGCACAGCCAGGACAGCTGGCCCAGACTGGCCAAAGGGCTATTCCATACCGTATGGCGTCATGCTCAGTATAGAAACTGGGGGAGCTGGCCGGGGGGCAGCGATCGCTGCTCAGGGACGTGCTGGGCATCGGTCAGTGGGTGGTGAACAATTGTACAGTGTATCACTTGCTTTGTATATATTATTATTATTATTATTATTATTATTATTATTATTATTATTATTATTGTGACTGTGACTGTGACTACTATTCTATTTCATTTTACTTCAATTATTAAACTCTTCTTATCTCAACCCACGAGTTTTCTGACTTTCACCCTTCCAATTCTCTCCCCCTGGGGTGGGGGGAGTGAGCGAGCGGCTGTGTGGTGCTTAGTTGCTGTCTGGGGTTAAACCACGACACAGACTAAGCAAGCAAGTAAAATATATTTTTGTGGACATCAGTGAGAATATTATTAATCCTGGTGGGTAAAGCACATAAGATTTAATTACGAATAGTTCTTCAGCTCTTCCCATTAGTCGTTTACAATAATGGCTCTACCCTTGGGACCTTCTGTACTTATCACATAAACCTTGATTATAAATCACAATGCATCAATAACAAATTAGTAGTATAAACATAAAATTGTGATGTTCATAAATAAATTTATAAGCCAGGCTACAAAGGACTTTACCTAACAAGCAACACCCAGATATAATCCGTGTTGGTTAAATAAGTTACTATTTTAAAGCACTTTTGGGCTCTGAGATTGTGGCATGCATAAATGCAAGCATGTGAATAACTGCTTGCATGATTATAGTCTCAATTTGCAACCAGTAAATATTTGGAAATGAGTTTTCTTTTATTCTGATCTCCTTGCAATAATGTTGATATTTATTATATATATTACATGGTCTTTTACAAAAGGCAGAAGAGCCTGTTTTTGGAAGGATGAAAATCAGCCCCCAAACATTTATTTTCACAACTAGTTGAGGCAATTCCCCAAAGGCTCTTGAAGATGTTTATTTAAGTGATAGAATACAACAGTTCTGACTTCAAAGGAGACTCCATATGCCTTCCTGTTGTGCATACACATTCTGCCAGCGCAGATACTTAAAGAGCACAGGGGATGATATTTAGACTTCATTTTCAGGCATAAGCAAATGGATTTTTAAGTAATTTGTAACCACAGGTATCAATGGTGAAAAGCTCTGCAAAGCTGGAAGCTTAATCTGAAAACATGTCTGCAGTTTGGTTAAATGGAAAGCATAATAAAATCTTAAAAAACACTATACAGATTCAGAAACTTTCCTCTGTCTTTGGCATCCCTAGAAAAACTCTTTGGCCTTGTAAGCCCTAACTGTGAGCACAGGATCAGAGGAAGATCTTTAGTATATGACTCAAGATCCTGTGAAGCACACACGGGGAGTGTTTCCATATATTTTCTGTGAAAGGCCTTTAAGGAATGGCAGTGGGCAACAAAGGAATGGTTTCTGGGCCTCTGAAGGAAAGTGCTATAACAAGCTCCAGGACTGTTAAGACAGGGCCGCTCACACCGTAGCTGCACCACTGACCTGACATGGCGGCCTGCTCCCTGCCAACCTCTATCTGTGGAGCAGGAGAGACTTTCACGTGCATGTGCGCTGTCTCCAGTGCTTCCAGATTTTGGAAGCTTTATCTGGAAATGTTACTACCCCTGAGGTGAGCAAGTCCCTGAACACAGCCAGGGGCCAGCCTGTAGGGTGAGGTTTGTGACAGGGGAAAGATGTTGACAGACCACTACAGAAACACACAGTGTAAGTTTTCTCAATGCGGTGTTATTCAGTATGTGAAGCATACTCCTTCAAAGTGTTTATGAATCTGTTCCTGAAAGAATAGCTCACATATTTGTAAACATAATGTATTTCATTATTATGTATACTATAAACATGCCTGCTTACCTTAGTTTCTAATTTCATTTTTGCAGTGCTCAGCTCTTCTTTTATTTGGTTAATTTTTTCATAACTTCTACTTATGTCGAATTTAGCTGCAACACAACAAAAACCTGTAAGAGTGTGTGCTCAGTTTGTAAAAGTTACGAACTTAGTTTCTAATTTCATTTTTGCAGTGCTCAGCTTTTCTTTTATTTGGACAATTTTTTCATAACTTCTATTTATGTCGAATTTAGCTGCAACACCACAAAAACCTGTAAGAATGTGTGCTCAGTTTGTAAAAGTTACAAATTTAGTTTCTAATTTCATTTTTGCAGTGCTCAGCTCGTCTTTTATTTGGATAATTTTTTCATAACTTCCATGCAAGTCGAATTTCGCTGCAACACAACAAAAACCTGTAAGAACGTGTGCTCAGTTTGTAGAAGTTACATTCTGATAAAAACATGCCATTGGCAAGAAGCAGCCAGCCCGGCTGGCTTTCACTGACAAAAGTCCCCTCATGACAGCACAGTGGGGCCACCCTGCTTTTCCCTCGGGAAATGGGGAGGCCATTACGTGTGGTGAGTGCTGCTGCTGGACCCACAAAATGGCAGCCATGGGGCAGACCTTGTTGGATGAGGCGCCTCTTCTCCCTCGCTTGCTTCTCTGTGAACTGTATTTGCTGGAACAAAGCATCCAGGTTCATTTCTGTCTTCTCATGGAGTCTGTGGGCTCTCTGGGTCTTGCTGTCTTTATGGAGGGCTGGTTGATTGAAGCTGGGATGCCCTGGAGGAAGGTGAGGCTGGGCGCGGCCACAGCCCTTCCCTCAGGGCTCCGCGCCCCACCAGACCTTGGCTCTGCTCTCTGGCCTCTGCCTCCCTGGGGTCAGGAAAGAAACCCCAGACCACAGGGGAAAGAGACCGTGGTAGATGGGACACGGCTGAGGAGGACGAGGGGACAGAGTGGGAAGTGTGGGCTGCAGAAAGTAGGGGGGTGAGAGTGAACCTCGGGCAGAGGGAAATGGGGATCACTGGCTGGGGGTGACATGGGAAACACGGCAGATGGAAACGAGCAGGCAGAGAAGCAGCACAGTGGGAGCAGGAGAAAGAAGATATTTGGCTAGGCAAAAGGCAGCTGACACTCTGAATCTTGTCAAACTTGTGCACATTTGTGAAACATTGGTTCTGACTCAGAGTCTGGGGAGTTTTGATCAAACAGCTCTGACTTTCTTTATTTCTCTGGGACCACATGCTTTATACTGGTTTTGTGTTGTTCAGAAGCTGATATTTCTACCCCTTCTTTTTTTCTATGGAGTGATCACCATCCTTTTTAAATACTACAGCTGCTCAGATTTATTTGTCTTTTGAAGACTGATGTCTAACCTTAGCAGTTAAGGAAGTAGGCTAAAATCCGCTATCATACAGAAGATGGTAAAGCTGACTAAATAAAACTTAAGTAACGGTGATCAGACTCAACTCAGCTGCATTTCACCATTAACATAAAATGACAGTGTTTCTGTTCCAGTTGGTCTCAGTAAGCAAAGATCATAACGCAGCCCATTGCACGCTCTTCTGGAGCATGTTTGTGTATGAGTTTATCATGCTCTGAGCTTCTGCAACTTTCTGGTTTGCACATTACTGGATGGTATACCTGGAAATGTAAATACCCAGTTGAAAATGTAATTCATATTACCGAGTTTGTTCCTACCTCTTGAAAAGGATTAACTACATTCCCCGCAGGGAATACCCATGTGAAGTTGGCCTACTTGCTTTAAGGCAGAAAAGCCTGGAGGAATGGAACTTTATAGCCTTCCAGCCTTTTTAACATTGAAAAAGATTAGGATTATTGGCAGTCCTGTCTTGTTCAAGAGTTTTCCTCAGAGGAGATACTGTCTTAGACTAGACTGCAGCAGCAAAGTTCAGAAATGAGAAAATCTTTGACTGTAAAATCAAAACAATCTACGTGAGAGTACAAATGTCTTATTAGTGAAAAAGCTGTTCTAAATTAGCAGTATGAAACTGAGAATTCTGGAAAAATGTTATGTTATAGCATTTACTGCTTAAAAAGCACCATGTTATAACTGATAGTGTGCTATAAAATGGTGCTTTTTAAAGAAAAGACATTGCTCTATCTAAGAAAGAAAATGTGGGTTCTGATGAAATTTAAAAACCTGAAACTAGAACATTATGTTGCAGGAAATGCAATTATTTTTTAAAATGGAACAAAGTGCAACTGAGGGAGAAGAGTTCACAAAAGTGAGTTTAGAAAATGTTTGAGAAGTGAAGCTTCCTACCCAAAAGCCAAAGGAAAAGCAGATGAGTCAAACAGGAACATTTGGTGACTAAGACAGTGATTTGTTACACAGGTCTGATGAGTGAAAAAGTCATTTTACAAAATTCAAGAAAATGAACTGCTCTATCAGTGGATCAAGGAGAAACTAAAATGAAAAGCTTTCTTTGAAGTTTTTGAGACTTGACTGCTTTTGTGTTTCAAACTGAGAAAGCTGCTGTAGGCTGGGATAGTGTTCAGTATCACTTATTAAAGAAATGACTGTGTTTTGTGGAGTGTGCTTCAGTGCCTCTAATTATGGCAAAGGAACTGCTCTCCCTAGAAAGAAGAGTCTGGCTCCAACTATACTTCTCACTGTCTGAGAATGACCATTCAGCACGATTAACAGTTCTGTAAAAGATTCCTTCAGAGACTGAAAAAATTCAAAGTGGGACAAGTATTTGACATTAAGCTTCGCAGCTTTTGACTCCTGCAGCTGTTTCCCATGTGCTTGATTTTTACATGGTAAATAACTCACAGTAATAACTCAGGGTTGCATAAAGTGAACCACACACGTGAAACATATACGAGTGCTTTCAGAATCAGGATCAAGGCCATTACTTCATAGGTGTGTAGTTGCCTGGCTCCCATGGAAATGGATGAGATGGTATGAACCTAAATGTTTCAGAATAAAAGTAAAATGTCAATTACCTTTGCTTGACTCCAACTTTTGCAAAGTATAAGATCTTTTGTAGATCACTAGCTGTTAGAAAGGTGACTTTAATTTTATTCTGTCGGTCATATCAGTACATCCTAATCTTAATCTTTATCTGTATCTTAATCACTGTGCTGTAATCAGGTCATGTCTTTCTAGTGTACTTCAAAATTAGTAATTGCCCTTTGTAATCAGGCTGCTGTGCTAATAGTAAAGTTTCTTCTACAAGTTTATTTTCTAGTTTGTGTAGGAAGAAGAAAAGAAAGATTTTTTTTGTAATTTCAAGTCACTATAAAAATATTTATCAGTGTAATTTATTTCTAAATCATATACGCTCAGATTGTTTCAAAACCTGTTTTTCTGAAAGCCAAAAATGAAAGAGGCAAAGGTAAAGAAGTGGCAGGGTAACAATTAGATGATGCAATACGGTCACGATAAAAAATATGTAGTAGAAGCTAAAAATTATAGGATTATAGTTACAAATAGATTTCCTCTTTTGTTCTTAAGCACTGTTAGTATTATTTTTTCCATATACAAACTATATTGCTTACTTTTGAAATGTTGCATTTATAGCAAACCTTCTTCCGAGACTACATCTCTTTGGTCTTCCTTTGCTCTTGGTGGTGTTTATATTTGCCATCTATTTTTGCACTAACTTTTTTCTACCTTACATGAAGGAATAAAGCCAAATTATTCTGTGGCATAAAATCACAGCTATCATTTTGTGTTCAGTGCTGAAGTCTGAGTTATCCTTTACTGGGAAACAGCATATATGTGTGTGTGTGTATATATTAAAAAAAAATAAAGAAAGACCACTAACCACTTGGAATGCAGCGTTGAGCAGCAATGCTGATGGAGAGAGACCACAAATAGTAGAGAAACCCAGTAATTATTTGGCATAAGTAAGCAGAAAAAATAGCAGACTTATTCAAAATTAATTTTATAAAATGGCTTTTAAAATCAAAGCTTTAGCTCTACTATTTAAAACTTCCTTGTTAAAATACAGCAAGCAGTGTAAAGTGGTAACATGCAATAAAGTGGTTTTAATGCAAATCAAGAACATTTTGTGTGGTTGTTCTCCCCCTCCCCTTGGCCACGCATTGCACTGCAAGGGAGGATGGAGCTGTTCTCTCCTCCATTGACTGTCTCCTGCCCAGGCTGGCTGCGATGGGGGGAGCACAGGAACAGCAAAACAAGCACTTGGTGGTCTCTGCTCGAATATATTTGAGTTCCTAGTAATAAAAAGAAAGGGAAAAAAGAACTCAATTACTTCTGAAAACCTAGAGCAGGACAGTAAAGAAGAGGAATATTAAAATGCAGTAATAACCTATAATTTATGACCTATCTCTAATTTCCTGAGGAACTCAGGTTAAACACAGTCTAGTTATTATCTCTGCAAGAGTGAGAGCAAACCGCTAGCCCACAGGCTGGGAGCTCTCCATTTCTAGTAGACTGCTCAGCAAGGGACTCATGAATGGGCACTCTGTTTCCTACTTGTAACAGGGAGGAAATAAACTACAAAAATTCATATAATAAAATATAAAATAATTGAAAATGTAGAAATAAATCCCTGGCAAATTATATGCAAACAAATACAGAATGTTTCTCTGTGCCCCAAATCCCTATTTGTCTGTTTTTTCAGGCGACAAAATTGTGAGTTAGTGAAAAGCTGTGTGTGTTTATAATGTATTAAAAAACACTAAGAAGTAACTTTGTACTCCCCCTAACATGTCTGGCTACAATGGAAAATTAGCTATACTCTTTTCCACTTTGGTAGGAATGTAAACAACTTCACAGCAGATGTTCTTTATAAGGACAGAGCCTGCTATTTGCATTGTGGTATCTCCATTTGAGTCTTACATCCAAGATGTTGTCTAATTCCATCTGGAAAGGCTTCACTGGATCCCTTTGGGTTACAAAAGCAAAGATTACTCTTTTATTTTTTTAAATCTAAGTTTTCTATTGTTTTTGGTTATAATCACACAACACCTGCTTTCTTTGCTGATTGGTAACTGTGTTGTTATACAGGTATCTACATTGTTCCTCTGTAGTGTTTTAGTGTCTTAAATGTCTTAAAAATATTGTCTCTTACTGGATCTAAGAGTCTATCCTAAAACTTTTTTACTCTGCTATTCTGTAGTATTTAGATAAGTGACAAATGAGGCTCTCATTCTGAAACATTTATCAGAGCTCTTATTTATCTTGGCATAACGGTAGTAACTTGTCTAATGGAGAAAGAATTTTTCAGATCTGGAGTGCCTATCGCAGTACAAAATACTGCCTTGGCTTTGCATTTTTGTAGTAAATTTTCTTAATTATTTGGCTGGAAAACTGCAGTTTTCTTTACATCAGTGCTGGTTATCACTAAGTTGGCACCCAGTGGAAGCTACAACAGAAACAGTAAGAAAATACTTTTTAGATTTTAATTGTTTGTATCTTCCATTTATGAAAGAGATTGTTTTTTAATTTTGTATTAGCAGAAATGTAAATGAATTATCTGTTATGTTGTAATGTCTTATAAGAAGATGGGTGCCATTAAATCTTCTGAATAAAGGGCTGGTAAAGAAACATTTTGAGGACTGGAACTTTCATGCAATAGATTTAAGCTTGGATGGAAATGCATTAAACAATCTGTTCAAAATACTTCATTTTAATCAATTAAGGATGGTATGTTTCCTATAACTGTATAATGCCAGTATGCTAGCTTATCTCTTTTTGTCACA